TTCGAATTTCCAAGTTTCTTGTAAATTCGATTTTCTAGAATCTAGAAAATCCTCAGGGAATTTATATATGGACTTTTTGAAAATCGCCGAGCATTTTCTATAAATAATTCCCGACATTACAGTGTAGACAAAAATTTCAAAAGCACGAACTGAAAGTGGAAGAAAAATAGATTTCTTTTGCTGTCATTTTTACGTTTACTGATTCTACTTATATCATATAAAAAATGACAAGTAAACAAATAAAGATAGAGAAATATCTAAGAGCACATCAATCGACGGAATTATTATTCATAATATTTGTGAAAATTTATACTTTACTGATCTCAAAATAAGACTGAACATGCTAGAAAAAAATCATGCGAAAATTATTCTAAGTCTTGCACTTGGAACTTACTTTCTTTTTAACCATAATTACTATGAACAATGTAATGACGTGTCCATCTATTCCCATTAGCGACTATATTTGCTAAAGTATTCATGGCCAGTTTTGAAGATAAGTTTATCCAACAATATGGCCGTTAAATGTCCGTTTTTTCTCCATTTCAAAACGGCAAAAAACTGGTCATAAAATGGCATTTAACAGCCAGTTTATAGTCACCAAGTCATTCACCGTTTTATTCTGCCGTCATGAATAGTATAAATGACTCTGATTTTCCTAAAATAGTTTCGAGTGTTTCTCTTCTTCAATTATACGAGTCATAGAAACTTGCCTCGAACAAGTGGTATGTGCTTCTTGACTCGATGCAGGTGATAGTACCTCATGTTCAGAAGATATTTTTTTTGACATTTTCTAACAGTTTAACAATTGATATTTAAATGGCAAAAAATGTGACCAGTAGGGTTACTGGCAGCAGTTAAATACCTGTTATTTGACCGTTTTTTGATATTTAAAAAAATGCGAAAAACGGCCTAAAAACGGGGTCAAATGTCATAAAAATGCCATTTAAATGCTTATTAACAGCGTATTAAATGGCATTTAATTGGCAATTAATTACACCGTTTTCGACGTCCTGGGCATAGTGATGCGTCTTATGCTTTTTCATACATTTTGTATACAAACTGTCAATCGTTTGTATTGATACATTATCTATCCAAACAAGAAATATTTACAATTGAATTATTTACTTATCGTTCACAGTCTTAAGTCTTTTTCAACTGTCAGTATTGACAATATTTACACTGCTCTCTTCAGTGAAGGATTGAATTGTGTATCAAGCAGAAAGTTATATTTGTGAAATATCATTAAAAAATTTTTATCTCGTTTACGTATTTGTCATCTTCGATGGCATATAAATTATAACTCTCAGCTGCAATAAAATTATTTTTGCAATAATTACGGGTCATTAATGAAATCGTTTAAGACAACAATTAAAAATGTTTGAACAAATCATTATACTATTACTTATATTTTTAGATAACGCAATTCTTGTTATTAAGAGAGAGGTGGAGAGAAGATCCCCCTTTCTCATTCAGAAACTTTCTCTTCTCGTCGAAAGGTTTTTGTACCGGACCGCCCTCCCTCTCTTTCAAAAAGTGGCGAGCAGAAACAAATATTTTTTTCACTTGCTTCAGATGTATGTTTTTCGGAGCATTTCTTCCTCTCCTAAGAAATTCCTATATCTGCTAATTCAGACTCAAACTGATTGCACTCTCACTCTCGACATAATGCATCTAACTGATTTTTATAAGTTTATCTAAAGAGGAAACGTTCCCAACTGTCAAATCGGGCCGAAACCTGATGGACTATAGGTAGTCGACAATGCTGATTGCCAACATGAGTCGGGCTACTTGGCCTCCACAGACTGGTTTTTTAGAAATCCAGTTTTCTAGAATAAAACGGTGGATGGATGTATTGATCAGATGACTAAAATAGAAGGTCTAAAGTGGAGAAACATTTTCGCTTCGATGCAGGATGTGATTATTCTGGTTTCATTCCAACACAGGACAGATCGTATTTCATCAACAGTTGGGTTAAAGGAGAAAATGGTGAATTTAGTGTTATGAATGTTTTGTATGGAAGAGGTGGAGTTGAAAGTTAAAGTCAGTTAAAGTTGTGAATGACACTAAAAAGTGTTGTTAATATTACTGAATTGAGAAGAAACATTAACATGCGTATGACAGAGGTATTACATAAATTAACCGTTTTAGGCGTTTCATTGTCGACTAAAAAATTTTTGTTCACTGGATTGTCAGTCGGATAGACTCAAATCAGCACATAGCATTGTAGTATCAGGCAATAGTATGTGAAAATATTGCTTCGGTGTAGGTGCCTGAACATCTTGTTTAATAAACAAATGATATGACGGTGTTCATATTTTCACATAAATTCATTTTTTTCCAGCTCTGCTACGAGTACCATGATATTCCCAAGGACAGCGCCATCTATAATTGTAGAACTGTGATCTCGTCACTCGTAGCAAACTAAGCTGAAAAAAAATGGAAATAGGAATTGAAATCTCATTTGGTCTATGTTTACATCTAAAACTTTTATCTAATTAATTTCACGGTAAATTTTTTCTTCTGCATTAGAAGAAAAAAAATATAACTCAGAACGAGTTCATAGGTTCATACCAAGAGAGACATCACATACATTACAATGGCGACTTAGTAGAGTTAATTAACTAAACCGGCAACGTTAACTATTACATTTTTTTGGATACTTATTATTCGAAGTTATTCGAAGTTATGTTAAAACAAGACAAGGTAAAGAGAATCATCTTCCAGTTTTTTTTCTCCAGATCATGCTCTGACTATTAAACATCGCTTCGATGTACAATGCGATATATTTAATGTTATGTTCAAAACTTCCTCATAATCTTATGCTGATCTTGGACGATGAACGATTAAAACTAGTATTAAGATCAAAGATAATTTGCTACTACTTACCTTGAAGTTATTGTGAAGCAGTCGAAGAATATGAGCGGTTGCTAAGTGTCCATATAGCTTTATCCCGAATGAGTGAAGCTAGATTAGATGCGGATAGAAATATATATTTTTATCAACATAGCATAAGGTTTTTTTTTTTATCTCGTGCGTGACAATTTTGCCTACCACAATGATTGATTGACCTATCATGTGTATAAATTATTTATAAAGACGATGTTTTTAAATTTCAGTTGTCAAAATAATTAAATATTGAAGAGAGAAGAGTGAACGAAAAGAAGAAAAGCAGATATAATGCATCGGGACCAAAGCGCTGCCGATGAAACAAAAGAGAAATTATTTCAAAATGCAGACGAACATCAGTCTGATTCAATCAATAAATCAACAAATCGTCGTAAAACATCACCAACAGAAGAAATCGAAGGCGGTGGTGAAGAAGAAAATCATAATAACCCAGAAGTAACTTTTTCAGGTGAAGCCGATAATGAAGATGGTGCAATTAATGAAGATGAAGAAAAAAATGCCAGCACAGCAAATATGGTGCCGCCAGCAGATGCAAAACCACGACATTTGGTATGTACACCAAGAAACCATGTGCTCTGTATAAAAAGTTTTTTTGTTTCTCTCTTTAGGGTTTTACCAGAACGCTGTTTTTGGCTGTTTGTGGAGCAATGATCGGAACTGGTGCACAGTTTGGTTATGCAGTTGGTGTTATGAACGCACCGTCTGAGGTAAGAATAGAAAAAGAAACGTCTTTTTAAGTGAACATGGTACTTTGTAATACAATAAATCAGATTCTGAAGAACATTTTTCTAACAGAAATTTGCAGACGGGATTTTTTCTCATATTAACTAGTCGAGCCATGATTGATATTAACTTAGTTGCCTATTTCAGTCCGTCTACTGTTTTCTGTTGTTCTTTTCTAATTAGTTTCTTTTCCTCTTATTTGTTTTGTTTTGTTTTGTTAAGGTGATAAAAAATTTTACAAAAGTAATTTATCATCGTCGTTATAATTCGACATTAACAGATTATCGTGCTGATCTATTATATTCAACAGCTATTTCTGTTATTGCACTTGGAGGCGTGCTAGGTGGACTATTAGCTGGACCCATAAGTGATCGTCTTGGAAGGTTTGATTATAGAAAAAAATGTTTATGCGCACCCTCTAATATTTCTATGTAAGTTTAGAAGGATAGGTTTACTATTAAATAACATTCCAGCTGTTGCTGGCTCCGTTTTAATGATGTTGAGTAAGATGGCATATTCATACGAAATGTTTATTGTTGGAAGAGTGTTAATTGGATTTACAGCTGGTAAGTAAGCACTAATTCTTCACTAAAATTAAAGATATGTGTTTTATGTGCTGGTAGCAGAACTTTTCTCTAGGCTCTTAGATTATACTGTTGTAAATTTTACAAGAAGCAGAAAAAAACAGTGTCCTCGTGAAAGGCAAACGATCATGGAATTGTTAGAGACTCTTAAAGAGACTATTTTAATCTAAAATAACTGATAGATTTCAGGAGGTAGTAACAGTCATACCTTTTGCTGAAGAATAGTTCCCCATTTTTCTAATTTATAACCCTTTTTGCAGTGGAAAACAGGACGTTAAACACATTTATTTAAAAGAGAAAAATATATATGCTCTCTTGAATATGAGTAAAAATATATTAGATGTATCATTTCAGCTTGTTTCTAATTCGTAAGAACAATGCAAACCTGTTCATAATAAATTGCTTTTATTATCAAATAAACCTTGAGTGAGAAGTTTTATTATGTCGGAAGACATTATGCAAACGTTCAGGGTGTTTTCTTTGTTTTGTTTTTTATTATTTAGTCATATTTTTTGGCAAAATATGCACGCAATTATGTAGAGAACTACGGCTCGTGGAGAACTTCTGAAAACGGAAGATCGTTACATGCCTAATTTCCAGTACCTGAGAACTATCTTCCGTTTCCAGAAGTTCTCCGGGTACTGAAAATTAGGCATGTAATGATAACGCTAATTTATCGGTTTTATCATACCTTACCAGTTATCGCTTCTTATCGATAAAACCAATAAAGTTTCTGACTCTTGCTAAGCAAAATCAGAATAGGGAAAGTGAGTTTGTAGCGAAGATAAATCCATGCTCTTCGCTAACGTTCTTTATTCAGTCTTTCTCGTTTTTTTCTTTTCTGCTTTGCATCAGGGAACTAGCAAATAAGAAGATATCTCTTCCCGCATATGCACGTTGTATATCTAAAAGATATCTTTCGATTCTTGGCAAATGTCCACTGTATGCATTGCAACTTTCTCTATTCTGATTTTGCTTAGCAAGCGTCAGAAACTGTATCGGTAAGAAGTGATAATCGTTATCATTGTATGCCTACTGAAGATTGACCATTAAACGTTTTTCTGAAATCCGCTCTGGATCGGGTGCCATAGGGTATAAAAGTGGAAGAAATTTGCGCTTTGACCTTAAAAATTTGTCATATATTCATTAACAGCTTGTTATTCGGTGCTATTCGTTCTTTAGGAGAAAAATACTTCTCATTCTCTGTCTTTTTTCTGTGCTCTTTCTAAACTATCTGAAAGAGAAAATCGCAGTGAAAGTGGTACAGTGAGAATTTGCTGTCTGGATTGACCACTTTTAACAGATGTCAGCAAAGACAGTGTTAACATCGCAACTTGCGCGCAGCACAATTGCAGTCTAGTTTTCGTTTCGCTTTCTTTTGTCTTGTAAGTATTGAGAACACTTTCTTCTAAAAGATGGTTGAAAACGAGTTTGTAGTTTCGTGGCTAACTCATCTCTTTTGTTATGTATGTATGATTTCTTTTTAAGGCTTCGGTGCTGTTGCTGGTAATTTGTATATAACAGAAATCGCTCCAATTAAAGTTCGTGGTAGTTTTGGTGCATGTTTTCAATTATTCGTGGCCATGGCTCTCATGTTGGCACAAGTATTAAGTCTCGATATTATACTTGGAAATGATCGTTTATGGAATTATTTATTTGGTAATAATACAAACAATTTCTAGTTTATATTTTTGAATTTTTTTTGTTTATTTTCTAGCTGTGCCTATTGGATTTAGTATATTACAAGTTTTATTGTTAGTATTTGCTTACGATACACCAAAATTTTTATTACAAAAGGGGAGAGAACGAGCAGCAGAAAGAGGTAAGATTGTTTTAATTTTGTTAAAATGTCAAGATAAATAATCGAATGATTGTTGACTTCTACTAGACAAGAAAATTTATTTATCAAACTTTCAATTTTATATTTCTTTAGCTTTGAAATGGTTTCGTTGTGAAAAAGACAATGGAATTGTTCAAACTGAAATACGAGAAATGCATGCGGATCTGAATAATTTGAAGACAGATTCAGTTAAAGTATGTTTCCTATTTAAAAAAAAGTGAATTATTTAAACGTTCACTTTTTTTTGAATTTTCTAGATATCATTGCGAGATTTATTACAAAAAACATTATTACGTAAATGTTTGTTAATTTCGTCCATGACACATGTCGCTCAACAATTAATTGGAAGCAATGTTGTAAGTAGAAAAAAAGAAAGGAAATATCATATTTGATCAGTAAAGTAAATGAAATGATCAGTTACAAAAAATAAGAGGAAAAGAAACTAATTAGAAAAGAACAACAGAAAACAGTAGACGGACTGAAATAGGCAACTAAGTTAATATCAATCA